GCTTAGGAAAGCTTGCATTTCCTTCTTGCTGGTCAGTGGACACATTGCTGCGATCTTGCTGATGACATCAGGTAGGACTGTGGCACTATCTTACTACTTTACTCCCAGGAACTGGATTTTTCAAGCAGGTCCTTTAACTTTACTCTTCTTGATGGTGAAACTGGCTTTTAGGAGAATCTGGATGATTTTATCTCCTTTCTCAAAGACCTCTGCTTCCATGTTCCACCACACAACGATGACATTGATGTACTGCAGATGTTCTGGAGCCTCACCCTTTTCTAGTGCAGCCGGAATCCGTCTATGGCAGATGGTAGGACTATGCTTCTCCTCCTAGGGCAGTCAGTTCTAGGTGTACTGCAGTCCCCTCCAGGTGAAGGCAAACTAAAGCCTGCACTCTGCTGCCAGAGGAATGGAGAAAAATGCATTGGTAATATCAATAGTGGAATACTACTTTGCTGCCTTGGACTCTAACTCGTACTGGAGCTCTAATGTGTCCAGCACAGCAGCACTCAATGGTGGAGTCACTTAATTCAAGGCACAATAGTTTATAGTCAATCTCTATTTTGTTTCAGATTTGCACACAGGCTAAATGGGACTGTTGAAGGGTGAGTGGGTTTTGCTGACCACCCTTTGGCTCTCTAGCTTACAGATCATCTTGTGGATGGGAATTACAGCATCTCAAGTTGTCCTGTACTGTTGGCGATGCATTGTTGAAGTGGCAGTTGGTACTCGTTGCTTTTCCCCCTTCAGAAGTCTTACTGCAGATGGGTTCTCTGATAGTCCAGGCAAGGTGTTTAATTGCTTAACGCCATCTGTGTCTACAGCTGCTATCCTAAATGCCCACCTGAGTCCTTTTGGGTCTTTGAAATACCCACTTCAGAGGAAGTCTATGCCCAAAATGCATGGCTCCTCTGGGCCAATCACAACCAGGTGTTTCTTCTACTTATTTCTAGTCAGGCTTATATCAGCTTCTACTAAAGTAAAATCTTGTGATCCTCTTGTCACACCAGCAATAGAAACGGATTCTGCCTTCACATGTCTTGATGGGATTAATGTGCACTGCACACCAGTGTCGACCAAGGCCTCATATTTTTGTGATTCTGATGTTCCAGGCTTCACAATTCAAAATCTATGATTTTCCTTAGCCTCTACCTGGCTAGAGGCAGGACCCCTTTAAGCCTGGTTATCCTTCTTTCTCTGGGCATATGTCTAGGAAGTTCCTTCAAGGGGATTGGACATGTCATCATCATATCTGGCAGTTTGGCTACAGGCTACTGGAGCTGCTTCTTTTTGGTGGAACTTCCTCTCTGAGTCTTGCTGTCTTTTAATTCAAATGCCCATTGTGCCAGAGCAGTAGTAGATTTTCTATCCCATCTCTGTTATAGCGTGCTCATGGGCACTCTGTGCCCCCTTCCCCGGGACCCTGTGACTCTGATCAAGATAACCCTGGATCCCTGCTTTCTGCCCCAACGGGGTTGGCGGAGAGCCAGGAAAGCCCACCCTGTCCATAGTCTATATAGACCCCTGACATTTCCTGTTCGTTCTCTTTTGCCCTGCTCTCCACAAGGACATCACAGAAAAAAGAGAGTTCTCTTCCAGATATTTCCCCACCTCGTCTGGGTTCTGAATTTGTTCATGTGAAAATTCCCAGGCTGAGAGATCAGAAAATTCTTTGGGAATCAGAAAATTCTTCAGGGTTCTGCCCATTCTCTCTCATTTTCCACACTACTCAGGATTTTTTACGCTTGGGTCTACTCCTGGGTCAGGAGTCTCATCAGCCCTTCTGGAAATCTCAGCCCTCACTCTAGACAAGCTGCAAACTATATAGAGTAAGTCTATGTCCTAGGTTGACTGTATGATGCCTTTATCCCCAGTTGTCTGCCCTGTTTATGTTGAATAAGTTTTGCACCTTTAAGGCTTGTTCCAAGAGTGAAGGGGGGGAAGAAGCGCAGAGTTTGTTTTCAAGAACTGCACTCCCTCCTCCACATTCCTGCTCCTGGACTGTGTTGTCTGCGGATGGACAGACAGCGGGACAGAGCTCTCCTTTGCTTTTCTAGTTAGTTTTAGCTAGCTGAGGCAAAGAAGTTCCCTGGACTGTCGCTTTTCCTTTTCTTTGGACTTGCTCTGGACTGAACACCAGAAGAGCAGCAGGAGCTCGCACCTGTGGCCCAGCGGGCCGGGCCTGGGCCGCGGCATTTCCAGCACTGGAGGGACTGATCAGAGACTGAGTGAGCCGAACTGCAGCCCGTGGGATTTTTTTTTCTGAGTTTGTCTCTCTTGGAGTGGCAAGAAGTTTCATTGTTTAATATTGGTTAAGTTTGCTTGTTTAATAAACAGGTTTTTTCCACTTTTCTCCAAAGAGGTATCTTTCCCGAACTGGTTGGGGGGAGGGGCCAATTGAATCTGCTTCCTAGAGGAACCCTTTTGGGGGTTCTTTCCCAAATTTGCCCTGAACCAGGACAGTCTACTAGATTAAATACCAGGAAGGTGGTCTCTTTAACATTCAGGGGAAACTGAACATTCTCTAAAAGTGATGTAACAGATTCAAAGGAGAAGAAGGAAAGGAAAGGTTGAAAAGCCTCATCTTCTGTTCCTCCTCTAACGAAGTGGGTGCAATTACTAATAAATCCCTAAAACATGCTATTGGAACTAGGATGCAGGGTAGGACGAAGAAACCATAAGCTATACATATCTGGAACAAACTCTAGTACTTTTGTAAATTTCCTATAAATCATTATCACCACGCCCATCAAAATAGCTATTCTAATCCATGCCCCTCTACTGTAAAATCTACATTTTAGGGACAATACTGGAGCTACCTCTGGATGAGAAAATAAGCCTGGGGACCAGAAAGGTATTAAAACCTCAAAAAAGCCTAGGGACCAGAAACACATGAAGGCTTCCACCCACAGAGACTTTATGAATTCAAGCAACATGGCTACTGACTGCTTTATCTCAATACAGAGTAAATACAACTAAAATGCAATTGCTACAGGTTTTTTCCTCACTACAAGAAAGATGAAAGACATTGAGGTGCTGGAGCACATCCAAAGAAGAGTAAGGAAGCATCTGGAACATAAGTCCTATGAGGAGTAGCTGAGCATAATGAGTGTTTTTAGTGTGGAGAATAGAAGGCTCAGGGGAGACCTTATTGCTCTCTACAAGTGTTTGAAAGGAGGTTGTAACAGTGTCAGTCTCTTGTCCTATGTAACAATTGACAGAACAAGCAGAAATGGCCACAAGTTGCACCAGGGGAGGTTCAGGTTGGATATTAAGAAATAATTCTTCACTGAAAAGGTTATAAAGCATTTGAACAGCTTGCCCAGGGAAGTGGTTGAGTCACCATCCCTTGAGGGTATTTAAAAGATGTGCAGATGTGGCACTTAGAGACATGGTTTGGTGGTAGACTTGGCAGTGTTAGGTTAATGGTTGGACTCGATAATCTTTTAGGCCTTTTCCAACTTAAACAATTCTATGATTCCATGTCTCAGCAACATCAGAATCTGCAAGATTCACTTTGATTTTGTTCTCTAGAAGCCTGTGTGAGGACTTAGAGAGTGCAATTACATGTCTCAAAACACTATTCCCATAAGATAAGGCACCACAACAGGAACTTGAGATAAGCACGGATGGCAAAAAGGAAGGCACAAATTCCAGGCTTAAACAGAGGTGAAGGTTTGGAATTAGCACACCGGACAAAATTCCACTGTGCAGACTGTGGGAAAGGAAACCACTGCTTACACCCATGCCAGTCCAAGTTGTGGGAACATCTGAAACCACCCCTTGGATACCTGGAACTTGGACTGTCTAAAGGTGGTACCTCCAGTAGAATGACTCTGGGACCCCCACCACCGAAGACCAGGGTGAAGAACGCTGCAGGAATCCACATGGTGGTGGTATCTTTTTGCTTAATTTCTTTCTCACTCTCTCTCCCCCGCTACTACCTTCCTTTTTATTTCTATCTCTCAACCTCACATTTACTGTTAAATAAAATCTCTACTATTGACTTTGGCACATGGTCTCCTTTGCACATTAATTTGGGCAGAGAAGTCTCTCACTCATTGGGTCATAACAGCCTGTTTGATGGTGAAACTGTTGTTTTCAGGAGGCATCTCCTAAAAAAAGCTTCCATAGTAGCTAATCAGGCCTGTCTTAGAATTTTCAAATAATAAAGAAGTAGAGTTAATTCCTGGTTCTGAACTCAGTTTGTTCTGACTCTGCATTAACTACATCGTGTCAGCCTAACAGTTCTTCAGAATTGTATTGAGCCACACAGAATTTTACAATGTCAGGAAGCCCTTGCAAGCAGAAGTGTATGCTTCACTTTCACTTATTTAAATTTCCACTATCCCACAAAATGTTTTGCAGGAGCAATTAAACAAGGCTTAAGGAAAGGCTAACTTGATGTTAGAAACAAATTTACCATTTGTAAGGTTTTATGTCATAAGCTTTTGATTTGGGCAAATATTCTCAGGTTATCAATGAGTAAATTCTAAATTTACCTGGAACTATTTTAATGCCGATCTCTTTCAAAAAATTAAGGATTACTTGTATTTAAAGTTCAGGAAATTCATATAAAATAAATAAGGTTTTTGAAACTTGGTTATTATGTCTTGTTGTACATTTATCTCTGCCTTGAACCACATGCATTTCAGTACCCATGAATTTGTTGGCTGATCATAACTGTGCATAATCAATATTTACAACAATATCCGTTACAGGTATTGTGTCCATGACCTGTGTTCTAAAGAATAATCATGCTTGAGTCATTGAGTTTGCAAAAGGAAACTGCCTGCATATTTAATATACAACATACCTATGAATTGTAAATGAATCAGTTAAATCTTACATTTTGGTAAGAAGGTGGAAAACGTGAAATGGATATGTTTATCAACTAAAATGGAATTGCATTGATTGATTAAAAAAAATTATTTTCACAACTGCATAAATGTATCTCTCTTTTTTTTTTTTTTTTTTTTTTTTTTTTTTTTTAATTCCAGAATCGAATGGAAGAAAGCAAAGCACTCTTTAGGACAATTATCACATATCCATGGTTCCAGAATTCTTCGGTCATTCTGTTCTTAAATAAAAAAGATCTTTTAGAGGAGAAAATTATGTACTCCCATTTAGTTGATTATTTCCCAGAGTATGATGGTAAGTATATTGCCACCAGAGCTCATGCCCCATTTAAATTGCAGTAATGACCAAATGTAATAGCGTTGCCCATATTTTGCTTGGAGGTTCTTAGGACAAAGATAATCACCCATTCTTCATTAAATCTCTTTTGTTCTTTACAAATTTTACTAAGTTCACCAAATGGTTAGTTTGTAGTTGAATGGATTACTGGTCATGTTTTTTTAAAAATTATATGAAAATGAAAAAAATTATTAAGAATAACAGTTTTTAATGCTTCAAATTCTTAAAGTCACTGAAGTCTTTTGGAACTTTCTAGATTGCTAGGAATTCATCATATACCTCCATTAATAGTGGACAAGATGGCAGTACCTTTCATGTGAAATTATTGATTCTAGATGAGTAACATCATATTATCAATGGACCATATTCTGTCCTTGTTCATAAGTTGAGGTGAGGATTTGAACTGAAGTATAAATAATACATATAATACATTTTTCATTCTACTCAGCATCTCACATACTCTTCTTTTTTAATTTGGTTTGTGGTTTGTTGTGTTTTTGTTTAAGGATGGAAATCTGAAGACAAGTCATAAATTCTCTGTGGCTCTCAGATAAACCAATATCACTTCTCCCACCATTTTATTGTACCATTTCTTATTTGTTTCCATTACTTTAATTTTATGTTACTTATATGAAATTTAATGTGCTTGTCCCTGAAAACATTACGTGGAGCAAACAGCTGTTTCCAAAAAAGCTGTACTTTGAGAAAGTTCTCCTGAGGTGAAAACCTAGGTATTCAAAGGTAACTGAGTGGAGGCTTTGGTAACAGAGAAAGAAATAATATTGATATAATAACATCTCTTTTGTCACACCAGAGAGTGAAAAGCGGATTCAAAGGCTACAATAAAAGATTAAATCTCTCATTTTCAAAATGAGTTAGTGATAGAAGGAAAAAGTTTCATGTTTTTCCTGTTTGAGAGGAAAGTATGTGTTCACAGTGAACAGCCTGCAGGATCAGGCCATACTTATTTATGAATCAGTGTAAGTTTAGTTTGATAGCACTAAACAGAAGAGAACTGATGGTTAAATAGAATATATTCTTGTCGAAGAGGCAAACGTCCAGTCTGGATGAGAAATGAGGTTTTGAAGGAACTTAGAAATAAAAAAAAATGTATAATCTCTTTAAGGGGGACTGATTACTCAGGAAGTATTTAAGGGAGCTGCTAGGGCATGTAGGAAAAAAAATTAGGGAGGCCAAAGCTCAGTTTGAACTTAACTTGGCAACTTCTGTTAAAAATAATAAAAAAAGTGTTTACAAATATATTAATGGTAAAAGGGAGGGTATAACCAACCTCAGTTCCTTATTGGATGAGGCAGGCAACCTAGTAACTAAAGATGAGGAAAAGGCGGAAATGCTTAATGCCTTCTTTGCCCCAGTCTTTAGTGGTAAGGCAGTTTGTCCTCAAGACAACTGTCCTCAGGGGTTGATAGGTGGTGCCAGGGAGCAGAATGTTCCTCTTGTTATCCAACAGGAGGCAGTTAGAGAACTACTGGGACACTTGGATATTTATAAATCAATGGGACCAGATGGGATCCACCCTAGGGTGATGAGGGAGCTGACAGATGTGCTTGTGAAGCCGCTCTCCATCATTTATCAGGAGTCGTGGCTCATTGGTGAGGTCCCAGACGATTGGAAACTGGCCAATGTGACACCCATTTACAAAAAAGGTAGGGAGGATCCTGGTAACTACAGGCCAGTTAGCCTGACCTCAGTACCAGATAAGATAATGGAACAGTTCATACTTAGCGCTATCACACAGCACTTACAAGATGGCCAGGGTATCAGACCCAGTCAGCATGGGTTTACAAAGGGTAGGTGTCATGGTTTGACACTGGCACGATGACAGTGCCCCCCCATGAAAATGCAATCTCTCAACTGAATACTGTGAAATGCGATCGAGAACAGAGCAAAGCAGGCCCAAGCCTAATAACAAGAAAAAAATTTTATTAAACTACTACCACTATGCTACTATAAAAGAGGGGGGGGGGGGGGGGAAAGAAGAAAGAAAACACAATTCAAAATGAAAACCTTCCAAAGCATTCCTCCTCCCACCACCCAACTCCAACAAACCACAGTGAGACACAATCTAGACCCCAATCAGGTTTCCACCCTCCACATAATCAACACCCAGTCCATCTGCAGGGAGAGAGGAGTCTCTCCCGTGCCACAGACCCCCCAAGAAACACAGCTGCCACATCCTGTGCTTCCATGTCACCACATGGCACCGCCCGGAGAAAAAAGTTTGCCAGTGGTGACCCTCTCCTTTCCATGCACAGTGCTCTTACCACCAATGCATGGATGGACAGACTGCTTTTTAGGATTTTTTTCCTTTCAAGGATGCCCTGCCAAGAGGGGAAAAAACAACAGTTCAATTTTTCATTTTTGGGACCACCAGTCCCCCCCATTTTCCCCTGGGGCCGAGAGTCCAAGAACAGAGATCTTTTTCTCTTCTTCCTCTGCGAAGACAGGGGGACCCACCACAAACTTCCTTAACTTTTCTCTGTTCACTCCACTTCTGTCTTTTCCCAGCTGAAACATGGTCTCTTTGGCTCACCAGCATCCTCCTAAAATACAGTCTCTCTTGGAGGAGAAGATCAGTTCAGTCTGTGGCTACCAAGAAAAAGTCCAGCCAAAATGTCACTCCATCATCTCCTCCCACCTAGAATTTCTCCTTCCAACATCCCAGGTCCCAGGTTGTCTCTCTTCCTCTCTTTTCAAACCAAGGAGGAGAAAAATTGCACAAAGCTTTCATTTCTCAGGAAGGGTTAAAAGTCCTGACTCCCAGAGATGGCTTGCTGCCCAGGCTCCAGCTCCCACAGGTGTCTGGGCACCTTGCGGCCCCCCTGCTCTTCTTCCCCACGGTGAACTGCTGGCAAAACCACCGCTGTCTCTTTTTCTCTCTTGGGAGAGAGAGACTCTGGGGGGAATGGAGACATCCCAGATTTCTCCACCCTTCCATCTGCAGGGGGCCAGCCTGGTTCCAGTCCCTCCACCCTTGGGCCTACCTCCGAAGGCCACATGGCTTTTCCCCTCCCCCACCCAGCTCGTGGCCGGGCAGGGGAGAGTCCTGCACTGACCGCTGACCGGAACCCAAGAGGGGAAGTTTTCCTGGGAATTCTGCTTTTAACCCCTCTGTGTTCTCAGAGGCGTGTCCACCTTCAATTGGTCAATGTCCAAATTGACCTCTTCCCTCCGGAAAAATTATTTTTCCGTGTCAAATCACGACAGTAGGTCATGTCTGACCAACCTGGTCTCCTTCCATGACCAGGTGACTCGTCTGGTAGATGCAGGAAAGGCTGTGGATGTTGTCTTTTTAGACTTCAGCAAGGCCTTTGATACTGTTTCCCATAGCATACTCCTGGAAAAGCTGGCAGCTTTTAATATTTTTTAATATTTTTATAGATGACATGGATGAGGGCATTGAATCCTTCATTAGTAAATTTGCAGACGATACTAAGCTGGGAGCTTGTGTTGATCTGTTGGAAGGAAGGAGGGCTCTGCAGAGAGATTTGGATCGATTGGACGGATGGGCAGAGTCCAACAGCATGAAGTTTAATAAGTCTAAGTGCCGAGTTCTACATTTTGGACACAAAAATCCCCTACAGCGTTACAGGTTGGGGACAGTATGGCTGGACAGTGTCCAGACAGAAAGGGACCTGGGGGTGCTGGTCGACAGCTGGTTGGATATGAGCCAGCAATGTGCCTCGGTGGCCAAGAAGGCCAATGGCATCCTGGCCTGCATTAGGAATTGCATGACAAGCAGGAGTAGGGAGGTTATTCTTCCCCTATACTCTACACTGGTGAGACCACATCTTGAGTACTGTGTCCAGTTCTGGGCCCCTCAGTTCAGGAAGGACATTGAGATGCTTGAGCGCATCCAGAGGAGGGCAATGAGGCTGGTGAGGGGCTTGGAACACAAGCCCTACAAGGAATGTTTGAGGGAGCTGAGATTGTTTAGCCTGGAGAAGAGGAGGCTTAGAGGTGACCTTATTGCTCTCTACAGCTTCCTGAAGGGAGGTTGTAGAGAGGTGGGGGTTGATCTCTTCCACCGGGCAGCAACTGGCAGAACAAGAGGACACAGTCTGAAGCTATGTCAGGGAAGGTTTAGGTTGGATATTAGGAAAAAAATTTTCACTGAAAGAATAATAAAATACTGGAATTGTCTTCCTAGGGGGGTGGTGGAATCACCATATCTGGATATGTTTTAAAAAAGACTTGACATGGCACTTGGTGCTATAGTCTAGTTATGGTGTTAAGGCATAGGTTGGACTTGATGATCTTAGAGGTCTCTTCTAACCTCATTATTCTGTGATTCTGTGATTCTGTATTTTCATGTTAGAAGTGTGACAGGTGCTTTAGATGACATCCTGCAGGTGAGAAGGCTATATGGGCCTTTTTGTTATGATCACTCAAGTAGAGGTAAACCTGTGTTAAATGCTCGTCCAGAGAAACCAGACAAAATTAATACATAAGAGTTGACATTGGAAGGGAGCTCTGAAGATCATCGAGTCCAACCCTCCTGCTCAAACTAGGTCATCTAGTGACTGCTTCACAGGTATATGTCCAGATGGCTTTTGAATATCTCCAAGGAGGGCGACTTTACAACCTTGTTGGGCAACCTGTCCCAATGCTCAGTCACCTCACAGCAAAAAAGGGGTTTCTGATGTTCAAATGGAAAGTCCTGTGTTTCTTGTTGTTCTCTAACTGGGCACCATCCACAAGAGCCTGGCTTCATCTTCTTTGCACCCTCCCTTCAGGTATTTGTACACATTGATAAGATCTCCGTCTGAGCCTTCTTTTCTCTAGGTTAAACAGTCCCAGGTTTCTCATCCTTTCATCCAGTCCTTTAATCATTTTTGTGGCCTTTGCTTGGACTTTCTCCAGTATGCCCTTGTCTTCTTATACTGAGGAGCCAAGGACTGGACACAGAACTCCAGGAGTGGTCTCATCAGTGCTGATTAAAGGGGAAGGTCACATCCCTCAACCTGCTGGAAACACTCCTCCTAATGCAGCCCAGGATACCATTTGACTTCTTTGTGTCAAGGGCACATTGGTGGCTCATGTTCAAGCTAGTATCCACCAGGACCCTCAGGTGCCTTTTCTGCCAAGCTGCTTTCTAGTTGGGTGTTCTCCAGTATATACTAGTGCCTAGGTTTGTTACTCTTCAGGTGCAGAACTTGGTACTTGCCCTTGTTGAATTTCATGAGGTTCCTGTCAGCCCATTTGTCCAGCCTGTTAAGGTCCCTCTGGATGGAGCCACTCCTCCCAGTTTTGTGTCACCAACAAATTTGCTGAGGGTACACTCTGCTCCCTTATCCAGATCATTAAAGATGTTAAATAGGACTGGATGCAGTACTGGCTACTAGGGTACCCCACTAGTTACTGTCATCCAACTAGACAATATCCACTGCTCTGCCCTCATCTACTAGGCCAGTCATTTCAACATAGAGGGTTGTCAGATTTTCAATCAGTCAGCTCAGAGAAAGCCTCTTCCTCTTCTCCTTTACCATGGGTAAGGGAAACAAAAAAAGGTTATGGACAATTAGGGCCATAGCCAGTAGGCCAGACCTGAAAGTCGTTTAAGTGTCTAATTCTGCAGATCTTGCTGGACTTAAGCCCTTAGAGAAGGTTATGGTTTAGTTTGTTTTCTTTTGGTGGAAAGATAGGGTGGATGACTTGTGGTTTACTCCCATCTGGCAACTTAGTATCACACAGCTGCTTACTCACTCCTCCCTGCCTGGGGAGAAGAAACAGAAAACAGTTTAATAATTAAAGTAAAGTAAAATATAGTAATAATATTAATGACAATAATAACAATAATAATATTAATGACAAGGACAGAATAAAACCAATTTATGTACAATAAAAGCAATTAGTGTGCAATATAATTGCTCACCACCCACTAACGAATGCCCATCCCATCCCCAATCAATTATTGACCCCTTCTCCCTTCTCGCTAATTTCCCCCAGTTTATATACTGGGCATGATCTTTTACGGTGTGGAATATCCCTTTGGCTACTTTGGGTCAGTTGTCCCAGCTGTGGTCCCTCCCAGCTTCTTGTGCACTTCCTCACTGGCAGAGCATGAGCCACTAAAAAGGCCTTGACTCAGGGTAATCACTGCTTAGCAGCAACCAAAACACCAGTGTGCTATCAGCATTATTCTCATACTGAATCTAAAACACAGCACTGTACCAGTGTACTGGTTTTACCTTGGCTGGATGCGAGGTGCCCACCAATCCACTCTATCACTCCCCAGTGGGACAGGGAACAGAAAATAAGATGGAAAACAACTAGTTGGTTGAGATAAAGCAGTTTACTAAAGCAAAAAGAGAAAAGTGAAAGTTTGAGTGCACATAAGCAAAGGGGAAAATTAATCTCTACTTCCCATCAGTGAGCGATGTTCAGCCACTTCCCAGGAAGCAGGGCTTCGGCACATGTAGCAGTTGCTCCAGAAGGCAAACATTGTAGAATAATGAATGCCCCCTGTTCCTCCTCTCTCCCTTAGCTTTTATATCTTAGCTGACGTCATATGGTATGAAATATCTCTTTGGTTACTTTGGGTCAATTGGTTTGATTGTGTCCCCTCCCATGATCTTGCCCACTCACAGCCCCTTGATGAGGGTAAGAAATGTTAGAGGGACAGTGCTGCTCAGCAGTAGCCAAAAGACTGGTGTGTTATCAACACCCTTCCAACTACCAATGCAAAGCAAAACACTGTGAGGTCTGCTAAGGAAATATGAACTCTATCTTAGTCAGACATAATACAACCAGCTACTAAGAAGAAAATTAATTCTATCCCAGCCGAAACCAGGACAGTTGCAAAGTCTTTGGCTTGCACAGGTCACTGTATATCCATCTCTGCTGTTCCAACACTCTGGAAATGTTGAAGATGGATGCATTTGAGGAACTCATCAGAATTAGGTATTTTTCAGCTGGATCACTTTTCCCATGTGGGTAGTACAATGAAGAAAGTATCATAGGGATCAGAAATGGCAACCAGGATGGCAAAATGGACTGATTAAACTAAGCAGTTGTACTGCGCAGTATGTCATAACAACATTGGATGAGAGACTGACATGTGCTCAAAGGTCAGAGTATCACATGAGGATATGCTTTCACAGATCATACTAAAAGACCAACTCAAAGACTGGAATGAAGTGCTGGGAGTAAGGAAAAATACAAAAAGTGACCATGTTTGGGAAGGAAAGAATTAAAAAATATCTATCTGTGGGAGCGCAGTCCCCTCCAGAGTCTTCAAAGAAAATAAATGGTGGCAATTGCAAGTTAATGTACCTAGTTAAATTGAAGTGCTTTTTATACAGAACTTGACTATCATACAGAGAAACCCTTTTAAGACTGCTAAAAAGGGAGCTATGGACAAGAAACCTACTGATTTTTATTATAATTATTTTCCAAGATTAGTTAGATTGTAACCATTTAGAATTGTAAATCTAGCATTGGTTCATTCCCTTTTTCTAAATACCTGGGATGGTAAGCCTTCTTTTTAATCTCAGTTTTCTGTACTTGAATTCCAGTCTGAAAAAATTGAATTACATTATACTAACCAGACTTGTTATTAGGCAAGTGAAATTTGCATATGGGCTTTAAATAGGGCAGTAGATTTTAAAAGAGGAACAAACCTGCCTGTGCCTACCCACTGTAAAAGTGTTTAACAAAATTCTAGGAAGTTGATAAAATCAATTGATGTCTTATTTTTAAGAAATCATTGTCTTTAAAAGTGTTGGAGTCTCCTTTACAAATATTTAAAGTTCCTAAGAGTAAAAAAAAAGAATAGGGACACAATTTTGCTTCTGTTTCTATAGAATATGTGATGAAGCTAAAAGCTAGAACCTGTTGTGTTTAGAAATTTTAAAAATTTTGAAGTCCTCTTTGCCCTAGTTCAGAGAAATTATTATGTTTACATGTCCTCTACATCTCATAAAATGTGTAAGTCTGTGTATGTGTCTATATATACACATGCATATTCATATGCATACAAGATATTGTAGAATCATGTTCTCCTTCCACAAGGCTTTGCAAGCAATAGATATCAGAAAGTATTTTATCTTTTGTGATGCCATTGTTACATAATTTGTGCATTTATCCAAATTAGAAATGCTTAAATTTGTATTTAAATATTAAAAATAAGTTTTATTGTGCAGTCATTGAAAGTTATGTGGGCACATGCTAACTTCCTAAGTACAGATTTCATAACCATTGAAGGACAGAACGATGTAACAACTGAGCGCTGGTATTTATACTGTCATATAACAAGACCAGAACTAATGAGGAGATAGGAGGAAGAGACACAGCAAACATACATGTTCTGTAGAAATCCACATTGCAAAAACAGAAGGACAATGGAATAATGGCCTATGAAAATTGCACCGGAACAGTATATGTATATACAGTATATGAAAAAATAACTTGTGGCTGATGTTCCTACTTCTGTACTGCTCTTTTGGCTGTGAACATGAACCAATTCTCACTCCTATAGATTGGAAGTCATTATTTTGCCTTCTGCCTTATGAAAAGCAGAATATGTAGTTTGGTTACATAGACTTCATGTTCTGAGAATTACAGACTTCGGTTAAATTTAATAAAATTGTTATATATAATTTAGAAAATTAATTTGTTAGAACACTGTTTTGCAATTGAACAGCTTCAACTAGAAAGCATGGTTTGAAATTGGAATTGGTGCCCCGTGTGAGGAAATCAAACCAAACCTGCTACACTAAAGTAAATTAAATTCTGTTTGGGACAGTGTCAGACCAGTTTAAGATGTAACTTGATTATGCTACATTTTAAAAGAATGTACTCTTTAAATACAGTAGACTGAAAATGGGCCAGATCTCTTAATTTTTAATATATTTATGAGTATAAAGCAACTAATTCTTCTGTTGTTCATTTTGTGGGGTCATCAAGTTCATCTCTCCATTTTTAGCACCTTATGGAAGAAAGAAGATAGCACAAAAAGAACAGCTCTTCTATTATCAACTTCTGGAATTTCCTTCAATTCTTTTTTTTTAATGGTCCCCACTGGGAAAAAATAGTATATGGTAGTATTTGTTAATAAAATTTTTCCCTTCCTCTCTCATACAAGGATAACAGACTGAGTCTTTCTTGTTTTCTGCTCCTGAGGTTCCCCTCCTAAGTAAACTCAAATACTGAATTGACTTTAAGAGAAACTGATTTTTTTTTTTCTTAATTATCAGGACCACAACGGGATGCACAAGCAGCACGAGAGTTCATCTTGAAGATGTTTGTAGACCTGAATCCAGATAGTGACAAAATTATCTACTCCCACTTCACTTGTGCTACAGACACAGAGAATATACGCTTTGTCTTTGCTGCTGTCAAGGACACTATTCTACAGTTAAACCTGAAGGAATACAACCTGGTCTAACTGTGCCTAAGAGGCCCTCCAAGACCACCTTTGTGTGATTGAAGATGCACAATAGGGACTGGATTATCTGTGAAAACAAGTTGCATAATACTAATTTATTGCTGGCCTGCACTCTGTGAATGTTCAGAGTTTTTTAGATGATATTATGATTTTATTTAAATTATATGGAGGAAAACCAAAATATGCTGAAGTACATTCACAGTACATTTTCTTATTTTTTAGGCAAAATATTGTGACTCAGTGTTTTGTAAATTCTCAGTCATACACTCACAAAGGATAACAGGTTTTTGCTATTGAAGCAAAATCAAGCTGGTTTCCCCTTTCCCTGACCCTTTCTCTCCCTCCTTCCTCCCCCGCTATGTTTTAAAAGTACAATGGCCATTTTACCACTTGCATTCCTTGATAATATATTTTCTGTTAAGTGACTTGGCTAAGAAAATTAGTATCATCAGAAGTGATGTTATCAGTCATTCAAATTTTACAGAATGTTCTTTCTCTGAAGGATCAGAAGTATTGAAAGTATGATTTTTTAAATTCTTAAAATTAGTGTTCTAATTCTGTCTTCTCTTCTGAGACTAGAATATTGGGAATTGCAAAATAGAAATAGTTGTGTATGGATTTAGAACTTAAACATACTTTCACAGTTCAGAAAGATGCATAGAAGACCGTAATAAAATAATTAAAGACATAAATGTTCATAGAATATCATTAAATCTCTTTTTAATTGCCATGTGCCATTATTTTCTCTTTTCTTTACTCACTAATGACAAGTAGAAATATCATGGACACTACATTTTCCCCAGTGATTACAGCCGGAAACAGGGTTAGGGGTTTATGTTTCAGTTGTGTTCATTTTTTCTTAAGTTAGAGCTTTTTTAAAGTGTTTTTCCACTGTAGAATTTTTTTGTTGTCATTGTATAAAATCTTGCCAAATATGGCTTTTTATGAAACCAATACTTTTGAAACATAACATAATGATTGAAATGCCAAACTAATGGATTGGAAATTGACCTGACTGAGTCAACTGCCAAATTATAAACATAGTTTTAACTCATATGTTCCTATTTTTATTGTGTTCCATTTTCTAATGCCAAAAACAACAGTGTGAGTGAATATGCTACTCAGTATATGTGTATAGAAGACAGTTTAATTCTCTCCTTATGTCAGAGATGGCATGAGATTGCATACAATGTTTTTTCTAATAATATCAAGCACCTCGTTTATTACTGATGAATGATCACATTCAGAAACCTCTCTTGATAAGGTTGCTTCTTAACCTGTTCACAGGCATTTTATAGGTTTCATGCAAAATAGTCTCTCTTGATATTCGTTAGAAATATTTCTTAATGCAAATCACTCTTGAAATTTAAACATGCAAATTTTTAATAACAAAAATGTAGCACCCATCAATGAGCAGCTTGGGTTGAAAGGCATTTTTTGACCAGGTGCATGATTGCTAGCAAGCTACAGAGAACTCTGAGGTCAGACATTGAATTACTTACATTGCCAAGTAGCAATAGGGTGCACTTAGCAGAGAAGCTGCTGCCTTTCACCAGCAAAGGAGAGGTGGAAAAACAATCTCTTATTACTTGAGTAACGAAGTTAACAATAAATACTAATGAGATTTTTTCATCCTTAATACTCTCTACTCTAAAACAACATTAATAAGAATAGTTGCTAGTTTTTGTTCCCTCATAAAACACCTTATAATTGGAAACAGATTGTAGGTATAGTGCAATTCTTAATGCTATAATCATTGTACATACATATATGCCAGCATCCATATTGGCTTTATATTCATTAATTTTGGCAAATTGAATGTGCTGTGTTGATATGTATCTATGTAATTGTATAATATGACTTATAGCTGATTCACATTTTAAATAATGTTATTTTATTTACTTTTTAAAGACAATAATGGTTTTTTTTTTCAGTTTACTCCTGACTAGGTATTTGTTATCTTTATTTTAAAAGCAACAAAAAAGCTTATCATAGTACAGAATTATAGTAGCATTGTGCTATATAGAATCATTTGAACATTCCTGAGTAAAAGTAAATTGGAGCCACGCAAAGGACAGTCATAAACAAAACAATGCTTAAATCTTGTCAGGACTTTATACAGATGTAGAAGCTGTTTTTGTTAGAAGAATTGATGCCATTATATCTAGGATTAGAACATAAGCTCTTAAATATCAGTTTGTATTTGGCAGATCCAACTTCAGTTAATTTTACCTTTCTAATAGCCTTTTTTAGAAAAGTGAAATTAGAGACATTTCAAACCATTGAACATAAATACTAATGGGTATATTCTATTTCCCTAAAAATATAATAAAACCATCAGATCAGTTGAACATTAATTCAGAAATTACAGAAAGCTTAGACATAACAACAACTAAGTTGCTAATGTTAAAAATTTTAAGGAGTAAAAATTTGTTTAATAAAGCTAAAGCACATAGTTGAAGGCTATAAAAACTGACACTGACATTCTAAATGTATCATCAGAACAGCTGTTCTTATTATATATGTAATTATAACATTGGCTCTGATCTTACTTGTAAACATAACAAATATTCTGTTTTAACCATTGACTCTGGAATGTGTGATAATATCCCTTCTTTCAGCCTGTGAATACATTGGCCACCGTGGATTTAGTGATATAAATAGAACTGTAGGGGGAAAAAAGTGCAAAAAAATGCCAGTGTTGTCTAATGAAGGTTTGGGTTTATTTTATTATGGGATTTCGGGGGGGGGGGGGGTGTATGGGTTTAAGGTTTTAATATAAAAAAACTTTGTATAAAAATAAACCAAAAATTTACTCACACTTTATAGATATATTGTGATTGCAAAATTTAAATGTGTGTGCCACTGGGCTACTTCTGGTATATCTTAATTGAGTTGAACCTGTGACAATGTTTAGATTATTTAAACATATTCTGAAAAAATATAATCAGCATGCTAATGCAAGCCTTACATAATTCACCTAACACAGCATTGCAGTGTGACAGTGTTTACAAAACCATTTAATTTTTAAATTACAGACGTTCTCATTTGCAATATATTCCATTGCTGTTGCTGTTTTAATTGGTGATTTCTACTATGCATTATAGTGCTTGAGTCTAGAAGTATGTGCATCTAACATGAAGCTGAAGGCAAAAATAAGACAGGAACCCTTTTAATTTTGCAAAATTACATTGTTTCATTGAATGTCATAAATGAGAGAGGAGAAAAGGAAAACATTGGGAAACTATTCTAGGTGTACAAGAAAGCTGTAAATATGTTTTACACAAACCTTAAACTTGCTTTTTTCACTAGTTAGCTGGCACTTTGTTTACATATATAGGATGATGAAGATATAAGAGGAGTTTGCTTTTATAATTCAGACTTGATTTTCAAGGTAACCTGTAATTTTAAATCATACTGCCACATGACTGTGAAGCACTTCTTAAAGTTTGAAAATAGAGGCGTTATGCTGGCTATCAGTCAGAACTGCCTGCATGATTTGCAAAAACTTTAAAAGGTGATAAAAGGCCTGCATATGAAGATATTGCTAAACTAAGCTTTTGGTTACGAGATGCAAGACTTTCAGATTGCTCAATTTAATGGTCTTTCCCTTGTTATGCATTCTTCACAAAGCATTGAAATAATAGGAGAAAACAGAGACATATTAACCCATATGGAAAAGAAAAATAATGCCCAAATAATTTATTATATGTGCTGCTGTTATTGAAAGTCTGTGCATGATTATCCTGCATTACAATAGCAAAATAATTAAGTGTGCACAGTATATTAACAAGGCCTACAAATTACCTATCTCTAGTTAAGAAATCAATAAATTAAATATGTTTTGGAGAGTGTTGCAAGTAAGGAAATTAAAATGGCCTGTTGTAGATAATTAATGGTTATTTGAGGCCTTCACACTTTTGCAGATAAAGTCCCTCTTTGGACATAAACAACTATGATTGCATGTCCCTGTCCAATTTGCTACCTTAGTAGAGATCATGAAAAACAATGTGTTTTGATTTGAAAAGAATGACTGATAGTTTCTCTTTTTTGTTGTTGTTTTTGCTTTTATTTGTCATTTTATTTATCAGTCAAAACAAACATTTCCATGTAATCAGTAATCCACTGAGGGTCATTGTTTATCTAGTTACGGGGTTTTTACTGTAACTTTCACTCGAGCTTTTTTACAGTAGCTATGTTGCAGGAAAAAAAAAATTGAATAATCATTTGGGCAAAGCTGATGTTGAAGGTAGTGTCAAAAATGCAAGGGAATTCTACCAAATCAATCTTACTCTTGGTAATAAGACTTCTGTTTTTGTGATGTTGGGGGTTTTTCTATCAAAAGATGGTCTAAGATGAAGTCTTGCTGGATTTCTTATTTATCATGCTGCAGAAAATCTTTTTTTTTTTTTTTTTTTGCCAATATATTGGAAGGGGTGTCAGATACATTTTTAAAATTTGCAGTGTTTAACAAAATAAAGATCATATTTGTTATTCTAAAGTGTCATTTAAATGCGTGTATCATGTATTATGCGGGGGACAAAAATAGGGTGTGGTTTTCTGTTTTTCTGTTTAAAAAACTAATGCATTAATGCTGCTCCTTAACAAACGTGTTGGTTAAAAATACAGTACTTTTCACCACGGCTTTGTACTATAGTATTTTCTTCATTCCTTGACATTTAGTTTTTCTGAAATATATTTGGGCTTGTTCTCTCAAAATATTTCTTATCAAATATTTGTCTTGGGAATGGTTTTTATCCCATGTCAATTTTTTTGGAGTTTTGTTTTGTGTCTGGAAATGGTCACTCCCCCCCTCCGAGCTTCGGGAGTATCGCAAGGGGTAAGAGCCAGCACAGGATCCTACGAGGGTTGGGGGCAAGGGGTTGCTTCCTTCTGGTGTGGCGATTCATCTCAGTGGCCACACTGCACAGTGCCTCTTACTAGAGATACTGTTGCTTTGCGGTTTTTGCCTGGTATTTTTTCTTCTCCTTTGGCACTGTGACTGGGCTTACTGGCTTGCTTCTCTGTTCCTCTGCTTGCTCAGGAACCCAGAGATAGTGTGTGCTGCGCCGGGAGCCCGCCGGAGGCACCACTCTGTGTGGCCCGACCCCGGGACCAGCCATCGCCAGTGAGCTATCCAGGGTACCGATTCCCTGCCCAGCCCTGCTCTTTTCTGCTACTGTTTCAGGGCTTCTTGCTACATTTTAACTGGACACCCGGCCACTCCGCAGCTTCTATCACAGCCCTGGAGCCTGTGCTACACTTTGTCATCCTGGGTGTTCCCGCCTCTGCCATTCCAGTTTGCAGCTTCTGAGGTTCCTGCTACAGTCCATTTCACCATCCGGAGGAACACCGGGACTGACTGCCTCTGTGAGTTTGTACAGGAAGCTCCTTTTCTCTCTTCTGCCAGCTCACCTGCCATAGGCCATGTGGAGAGAGGCAACTGAGCTTGTGCCACTGCGCCCCCTGCAGCTGTGGGAGAATCAGTGCACCTGCCCAGCCTCAGCAGGAGCCAACAGCACCCGTGCCGGTTGTGACCATAACTACACTGAAGGGGTAGTTTGTGCTGTTTGTGCCCATGTGAAATGTGTTCTGGAGATTGTTTACCCAAGGTGATTGCTTGATTGGATTCTGGTCATGGTTGTTTGGATTCATTGACCAATTGGATCCACATGTGTGTCGGGACTCTCAGCAGAGACAGTCACGGGTTTTCTAGTTAGTTAGTTAGCGATAGTTCATGTTAGTGTAATATGATGTAATAAAGTTATAGTATAATATAGTATAATAAAGTAATTAATTAGCCTTCTGAAATCATTGGAGTCCTGCACATCATTCTCCCCTTGTTGGGGATCCCAGCACTGATACAAGGGACGGTGTCAAACTTGTCATTCCCAAGGGAGGCACCTGGGCATTCCCACCTAGCCCAAAGGTCTATTAATCCATGCGATTCCACAATTTTCCATGGCGACGGGTGGCAGGGGAGTCTCTCACCACCATGAAGACCAGATGGAGGGGAGCAACAAGATGTTGTTGGGAACTCCAGAAGGGTGATTTCTTTCAACCTAGCCCCTGTCACTCTCTCCCTGTCCCCCAATGTGGAAGGGGCTGACAGCTGGTCTGTGAGCTAGGAAGGATTAGTTGAGGAAGCTGATAAGATTTGAGTTTACGCCTGAAAGGAATTCTGCCAAGGTTGTTGACATGGAAACCGAGAAGAAGAAAAAGATAAATAAAAGAAACCTGCAGTTGGATGTTAGCGGATATTCTGGTTTGAAAGCAAAACCAGTGAGATACTCTGTTGGGAAGGGTAGATAAATATGATTAAGAACCACAATAGTACAGCCAGGACGAATATAACGCCCCCTACTTGCTGGACAATAACCCTCACCTACAGAGGGGTCCAAAAGCCAAATGGACTGTTCCATCTCACCCCCCAGAATGTATGGTTCACCCCACATCTGTAACCCTCCCCTGAACCATCAGGTGCCTGTGACCCCATTGGCCCAGGTCCTGTTCCAGCCCACCCTGGAGCCCCCTTTGATAAAGGCTCTCCGGGGGGCTGGACGTTCTCTTGGATCTTCCCCTCTCCTCCTGGAGCATCCTCCAGGAGTCCCTGTTCCCCTCTTTGTCTCTCCCCTCCCCCATCACCCAAGGCCCAGCCACGTGCTGTGTCTAGCAGCTCGAGGCAGAGCCTCTCTGCGTCCTGAATAAACTTCATCCCCCAAGAGCAACCAAAGAGATCTCGCTTGAATCTGTCCATGGAATACAAATAAACGTCTTTACAGACTGGCGCCCATCTTCGAATACGAACCCACGGTGACCTGCAACTGCACCCGTCTGGATGCTTTCCAGCTTTTCTGCCTGTAGGACACCTTTCCATGGACACTAACTAAATAACCAGGTATTTCCTCGCCATCGTGGTCGCGAGCACGGCATTTTGCTGCTAGGCAGTGACGAACCGGAGCTCTTAAAAAAGTCCCGAAGCCATCCTACAGCTAAGCGACTCGTTACATAGTAGCGAGTTCTTAGAGCCCTTCTAGGATTTCTGGCCGTTATTCTCCGAGCACAGGCGATCGCCGCGATTCCGCGGCGACCCAAGGCTTTGTGACGAGACTTGCCGCGGCACGCGGCCACGTGCACAAAGCACAGGCGAGCACTGCTTAGCACTGCCCGCGCTGAAGCTCTGAAGAAACCCTGCGGTGAGCCCTCAGCACCGACTGCAGTAAACGTCGGAACCTGACAGAGGACCCCGCTCCTGCGACACCGAGGTGAGCCACACTGGTTTAAAAATGGGACAATCCCACTCTACATCTGATCGAGATCTCTATAAGCAACTTAACCACTTATTACGTAGCCATAACAGTAATTTGCCTAAAAAAGAGCTACGGAAACTCCTAGAATGGATCTTACTTAAGTTCCCAAATGCCGAGCGCTCTGCTGTGTTTTGTGGAGACTTTTGGGAGTCCGTGGGGCATCAACTTTTTAATGACATTTCACGGCGGGACCCCTATGCTTGCGAGTTACTTCCTGCTTATAGAGTGTTAGCAGAGCTCTGCGCTTCTCAAAAGCCGCTGATAGCAGCCAAACCGCTCCCTGCCGTGGCTCAACTATCCCCGCCGGACCGCCCCCCCACCCCGCGCTGCGGTGAAAATGCCGGCGAGGCGGCTAGCGACTCGGCGGTTTCTGAGCGAGCGGCGCTCCCTGCCGCAGCCGCCCCCCCCCTCCCCCGCAACCCAGAACCCGCCCTTGCGGCCACCTCCTCCCCCCCAAACCACTCCGCGGGCCCCGCCCCCCCAGCATTGCCTGTCCCGGCTATGGTGGCTACTATAGCCGAACTTTTACAAAATCAAACAACAGCCATTTTGCAAGCACAGTCTCAAAAGTCAGCTGCGATTTTGCAAGCGCTGCACACGCTCGCCTCCGCGGCCGCCCAACCAACCCGCCCGGAAGCCCCCTGGCCCAGCGACCATGCCGGCCAGGCGCCGGCTCCGGGCCGGGCGGACCCCACTCCCGCGGCCGCCGCCTCCCTCCCCCGCTGCCCGGACCCCGCCCCCGCGGCCGCCGCCTCCCTCTCGCGCGGCCCAGACCCCGCCCCTGCTTTCACCTCCTCTCCCTCGCGCGGGCCGGACCCCGCCCCTGCGGCCGCCGCACTACCCCTCCTTCCTAGAGATGTCCCGGAACCCGGCGCCGCACCCCCGCTGCCCGCCCGCCTCCTGGACTCGCGGCCGGCCCCCCCCGGCAGACGCAAACCCGGCGTCCCCACCCCCCCACCCCCCCGCGGCGCCGCAGCCCCTGCCTCTGGCTACAGAGGCCCGGAACCCCCCAACGCAAGCACCACTTCCTGGTTTGCCGAACACATCACCATATCCCTCCGCATCCTTCCCTCCGCCGGCTCTACAGACTGCCGCAGCACCCAATGCCACAGCTACAGGAAATCCTTCCACAAATCCCAGTTCCCCACAGGTGCTGCTGCCCACGGGCTCCACCCCTCCTGCTCTTCTGCCTCAGCTGGCAGCAGCCCCTGCCTCCCACACTAGCAGCTCCTCACCGCACCCTGACGGAGACACTATGCCTCGACAAGGTGAAAGCAACAATGTGACTGCAGCTTCTACAAACAAAGGACAGACAGAGAACTATCTTACCCCTGCAAACCCTAAACTTTCTATCCCAGTCTCACCAAATTCTCAACAAAGTGCCAACAATCTTCTACTGACGAACTGCCTTGAAATCAAATATAATAGCTGCAAAGACAACAGTCTGCATCCCCAAGCCTTACAAGTCCTATTCAGCCAGCGAACAGCTGTCCCCTCTCAGGAGGTGAAAGAAGTCCTGACAGTATTCAAAGACAGTGGTATCTCCTTTTCCTATTTTGAACCACTGTTAAAAACTACCATAGAAAATACACGCCAAACCCTAAAACGCATCTTACTTCTAAAGGAAGGGGGAGTAGATCAGGCTACACCTCAAAAGAGGTTGAATAAGGCTCTATATGCTCACAATTTTCTAAGTAGCTCTGCAGGAGAGCCTCGTCTCCCAATTTATAGACATTTCCTGAACACCAAAAAAGTAAAAATAAAAGGGCACCCCCCAGCTTTACCCAAAATCTTAGATTCAGGACATATACAAAGTCCACACAGTCTTCTAACGTGGGGAAAAGGTTTTTCTTGTGTTTCCACAGGTGGACGACTTAAGTGAGTCCCAGGAAAGAACGTGAAGCCTTACCAGGCACCGAAATCCGCTGACACCCCCACACCAGACAGTACTTCTGCAAGTACAAGCCAAGAAGCCAGCACCCAGACCTGAACCACGCTGCGTCATCGAGAGAAAATGGACTTTTTATCGTTTATATGCGTGCATGTTGCTTTTGTTCTTCCGTTTCAGTTTTTATATTGAAGTTTTACTTGTAATTCAACCAAGGACAAATGCCGAGTAGCTTTAGCCAAGCCTGCAAGCTCTAAGACCACCTATATATCTAACACAAACCCTAACAAACCTTTTCCAACCCGTTTAATTATAAGACCTTTTCCAAAAAATTCTGACAATGCCTCCCCTACTATAATCAGTGATTTAATAACAATAAGGCCATCTCAGCTATACAGTTTACTTAATGGTTTGAGCCTTGCACCTTAGCTAAAGGAACTCTG